GTGGTCATGTGACTCGCTGACGCAACAATATTTAGTATTTATGATATGTCCATAATATCTATAGTGTTGAATGATTTATTGTACGTACATTAACATGTTCTGAATATATATATATATTATTTTGAAAACAAATGAAGTGCAAGTTGTTTATTCATCATTGAATTTATCACTAACAAGTCACAGACACCTACTGCAGAAGAATCCTAAGCCCAAAAACAACATAGTATATATTTATACTATTAAGAAATATCACTAAAAGCCTTTTATTTTGACAATTGGCGAAAAATAGATTTTTAAATTCTGGCAGATGGGTTACAGAGAAAGGTCAGAGTTTTCAGTATTCCATTTAGAGACAAAAATTGTACTTCGATAAAGGGCTCGAGCTATTAGCCTCACAAAATCACACTTTACTGCCAAAAGACTCCCTCTTAATAGTGTTTGGCCATAAAGATGTGGAGTTTAGGGGTTAACTGGATTGTGTTCCTCTATAATAAAATATTATAATTTTTCGTGTTGACATGCCATGACTGTTCAAGTAAAAAGTTCTTATGAATATTAGATCTAGGTTATTCATATCTTCCTGGATACTATTTTACAAGATATTCCAGCATTTGCTCAAAATCATTCTTGTGAAACTAGTTTTGCTGACCATGTTCACACAATTGCTTGATAACCTTTCGAAGTTCAGCGATACTCTTTTAGTTGTACATTTGTCCTTTCCTAGATCTTTCAGCTTAGCCATGTTGGAACAAAGCTGTTGCTACATAATGATCAGAAACATTTATATGTCTTATACATGTGTTATAGCCTCAATAAACCAAGCTCAACAGACTGGCACTAGGAAAGTGCTACTTTGAATGCATAGAAACGAGTATCTTGTGACTGTATCTCTCACTTCTCTTTACCACTTGATGACTCCATCTGTGCTTTCCACTTATGTCACTGACTGCTCAATTGTGCTTGTGAAGTGATTGGACACCCATTGATATTCCCAACGATGACTGTGTATTGACACATTCCTGATTAGAGCCACTTGTTTCATCAACTAAATCCTCTTCTTTGGAAATTCATCATCATCACAATTTGACATTGTGGTTCAATTTTAAAGCCCATCGAGCTCTTCACTTCTTCAACATAACCTGATTGCAGGATACATTATACTGTATTGGTTTTAATTTCCTCTCACTTCCCATTTCCAATTGCAGAGTAATCAAAAGTATGAATTGAAAAACTAAGAACAGCAGAAAAGAGAAACCTTTGATTACCCCAAGCAGAGAAGCTGTCAATTGATTTACTACAAAAAAAGAAGAGATCATTGCTTTACTTTATATAACCCTTGAGCTTCGTTTAAAGACTTGAAACTTCTTTCAACAAATTATTTATCTAACCATAGTTATACTTAACAAGCTCAGTGATACAGTCTTACATTCCACCATGTGACCTCAAGAACAGCAATGGCCTGTGTGGTGGTGATAAAATTGATATCCTCTATCAGTCAGGCCTTTACATCATGCAATGCCTTGTCAAAGTGTGCATCCCAAATTGACTTCCCATCCTGTATCTAAGTATGTACAAATTTGCTAATATCAATTCTCTGTGCGTAGTTAAGAACTAGAATTAGCAAAGGAACCAACGCATATAGATATCAGGACACACTGTTGCTTTGCAACGTGATGCATTTGATACTTGGCAACTATCATTTCAGATGTAGTGAAACTGCTTCAGTCATGGAGACAACTTTTAACTTTATTGAAAATATGTTCCAAATATAGCTTTTGAGGCACAGCAACAGGCGACATTTGGGATCTATCTTGTGATACAATTTTGCAGAACTCTACCATTGTTCCAAATCAGCTCATTCCTCTCTTGCCATAATGGGCACCCATATTATTTGGATAATATATCAGACAGAGTTTCATTTTGTAGTATACAACTACCAATTCTTCATCACAGACACATTTTGTCTTGCAGCAATTCCTCATCCCCGTCTTCTTATCCCCAATTCGCCTTTGTTGGTTTCTGGTCCTCATTCTGTGCATCAAAAGGAGTCTTGTTTTGTGGGCAGTGTCATTCAAAATGGATAACAAGTGATCTGAGTTTTCCTTATTTCAAGCACTTTCTTTAATTAATCAAAAAATAGAATGGTAACTGATCATATTTGCAGCAATCTGCTTATCTGTATCTTCCTGTGTTTCTTTACCTAAAGCACAAAGTTTGTTGTAAGTAGCAAATGCTTTGCTACCAAACCAACTGCAATGGGTGTGATGCATCATATTCATACTAGAAAGGAGTGAGTAAGCTAACTCTATTTCAGAAAATGGTTGCACGTGTCAGCAGATAAAATCTCGGATTCAATCACTTGTATGATTATGTCAAAGATACTGATAATGATCAGGAAACCACCGATATAGTCTATGGCTTTGTGAAACTTTGCATTCCCATGTGTCAAAGTTGAAAGCAGAGCAAAATATGTAGTTCTCGAGATAAATGTTTCTTCCATAAAAATACTTGGCATGTGCAATGTAGATAAAACCACAATGCTTCCACACGATGCTCGGAAAATATTTTGTTTTGCCAATGACCATCACCTTCTTTGTGCCCCATGACATATATGTGTGGAAGTATTGCAGGCTCCTTGGTGCTTTCTGGATTTTTTAGTTGTGATAATGCTTTAAAATTGCGAGACCCAATGACAAAACTGTTGGCACTCATAGGGAAATGCTCACATGCACTTGACTTCATGTGTTGTATCTCAACTCAAGAAACAAAAGAGTAAAGCAGTACACATGCTACATTTTGTTCTGTTTAAATCATCTTGGCACCCATGTACTATGAAATAACATTCACCAAGATATCTCCTTTTATACCAAAGATGGCTGTTCTTTGGGTCTGCAGACTTGTGTTAGAAGGGAATGTTTGTTCATAGAATTGTTGCAATAACGTGTTTGCTGCTGGGCCACAGTGTATTCTAGAACGTGCTTGACAATCCTCATGAAAATGATGATTACTGGCTTTAGTTTTGAGTGTTCCTTGCCCTTCAAGCTTTTTAAATTGAATATAAAA